ATTACATTTATGGCTTACTCTCACAATCAATGCAATTTTCTCAAGTCCTTCGGGGGAATATTTTCATGTAAAGATTTTAATTCTTTAAAATATTTTATATCCTTAATAAAAAATTCCATTATTCGACCAACTTTCACCGCCAAAATTAGTTTGATTGTGGCCCAGTGTCATAATTTTAGAGCTCGTTGGGCTCGGCATAGCGGTGGGAGGCATCTGGGGGCTGGGGAAACCCATAGTTTACTGGTATTTATGGTAGCCAGGCGATCGGCGAGTAATAGCCACATTTTATAAACAACTTATTTCCTTAATTGATTGTTAACAATGATTGCCGATGAGGCCCCCAAACGTAGCCCGGATCGCACACTTCTTTCACACTGCAGCAGCATCAGCAGCAGCGTCTGCAGTGTGTTGGTTGCCTTTGGCCGCTGACGTTGTATCTATTAACCACGCACTCCATTATTATTTAATAACATATTTCTTAAGTATCTGCCAACCCAGTTCAGAGCACAAAACGAGCCTCTGCCACGATGCAGCAGGGGCTTTCTTCGGCATCGTTCGCCTCTTGACCATAATTTGTGAGGCCTGCCTCAGATCCCTCTTCTGCGATGGCACTCTGGCACTGGGAGGAAAACTTGGAGCCATAGTTTATATTAATTTTGAATTTAATGAAAACAGTGTTGGCCATTTCAATTGATGTGATTTAATTCAAGAAATCTTAAATTAAATTATTAAAAACTTTTCCAATTGTTTACTAGATTTTCGCATCACTTCCTTAGATGCTTTCCCTTTGAAAAATAATACATTTTGTTCGAACATAATTTTTATACTATTTTCTCACAGTGCAGACCTTAACGCTCAACTCTTCGTCGTCGTTCAAAGTGATTGCCACCCCATTAAAAAAACGGCTGCGCCTTCTAGTTGGTGGTGTTGCTGTGTGTGCCTGCCTTGGCTCCTGCCACGATCACTCAATAAGTCTAGACAAAATGTACCTGGTACCTGTGATTGTCGCTCTTCGATGCTATGTGGTGGAGGCGGGGGGGCGGGGGGCGGCTTGGGGATAGCTGCCGTAATGGATCAGCACGTTGCCAGGAGAGCTGGTGGTGGGGCCAGTTGAGTTGAGCTGCCTGCCAGCCTGTTGCCTTTCAGACGTCGTCTCTACGTCATCAGCAACAATAATAACAGCAACAGCAACGGCAGCAGGAGCAGAAAATCCTCCTAGGGAAGGGGAAGCCCCTTCTTCTTCAATCGTGAAAAAAGCCAGCCAGCAACCATCATATTTGTTGCATGATTATGTGGTAATTGCGGCTGTCAATAAAACTCCCCCGTTTTATTCTTTACAACCGAAAGCATTCTACGCCTATATTTTCCTTATGAATATGACACTTGAAGAAAATATTTATTATTTTGTTTACAATTTATATGGATTCTATATATAAAGAAAATATTGAAAAGAAAGAGCTTTATTTTTATATTTTCTTGTCTTACAATTATGTTTCTTTTAAGAAACTTAAAATAAAGGCTCTAAAAAATTGTTTTCCCACAATAAAATTTAAAGTTTCAATTGATATAAATATGTATAAAATAAAACCAATCTCCCATTAACCCCTCTATTTTTTTGAGTGCATATAAACATGTAAAAATACACATATATATAGAAGAAAGATGGATTCACGATGGGTTCCGTTCCCTACTATGATTTAGTTTGACAAAGGAGTGACATCCAAGTACTCAAGTGATTTCTTTACACCTTTTATGGAGTAGTTAATGCGGTATGCGCACAAGTCTCACATTGAGCCAAGTCATGCCGGGTGTCCCATCCCCCTTCTGTGGCTCCCGAACCCTCTTGAACCCCAAAAGCAGCGATACACTCTATCCCGATTCATGGCACCCACCAAACCACAAAACCTATACAAAACCCAAGCACTTAGCGGCGTTTAGGCTGCGCCTTTTGTCTGCCTCGATTTTTTTTTTGTATTATTTTTTTAAGCCTGGGAAATTATTGAATGGGTTTCAGAATCCTACTCCTGTTCCATAATCATTGGGATTGGAGTTCAGTATGTAAATCTCAAGGAGAGCTAGTCGATGACTTTTGATTGGGTTTGGAGGAAGTAGACGTAGGTTTATTGCTGGATTTTTATGAATTTTCAAAGGGAAAAAAATTGAAGTTTAAGTTAGAATTAATATTAATATTAATAATAAAATTATATTAAAATATAAAATAGCAATAGAGGGATACCCCCTCAGTTCTATCTATAAGATAACCTTGCTCCATTCTCCTATTTCAAGATTAATTTAAAATAAAACCCCAACCATCTCTGTAAAATAATATAATAATTATTATTAATTATCCCCAAAAAACAAATACCCAAGGCAAAAGGAAAATCTGCATACATAAATCGTTGAAATCGTTTAAATCGAATCGAGTCGCATTTTGATAACTCTGTTTGCCCGACTGACTAACAATTTCCGTTCCATTTGTGCAACTGTTAGGCCCAATTTGGACCCCCAGGCCAGTCGCCGGCACAGTGGGCGTGTTATGCTTGTTACTCACAGATTGCGGCAATTGCATCCAAAGTGGGCCCCAAGATCTCCGAGTCTTTGGTCTGGCTTTTCAACGCTTCATCGCCGGTTATCGGCCATGCCCCAATCCAGTTGGAGCGTTTAGTCTCCATCTGTCTGTCGGTCTGTCTGTGTGTGCCTCCCCGCCTAGGTGTTAAGTATCGAGAGGCCCGGCCAGCAGCTTCTCCAGCTTCCTTCCTTCGATTCAAAGTGCGAGTGCTAGTGTATATCCATCTGGGAGTTCCAGCGGAGCGGAGACATTTATCGCGCGCGTTGGTGTCGCCTCTATCTGGGCGATGTGCGATGTGCCGCGTTGTTGTAGGTGCGGAAAGTGGTCCACACGAGATTAGGGTGTAGCTATCGAGTCGTCTTGCTGTTCCGCCTGCGACTCCCCGGCGAGTGGGTAGCAAATAAAAGCGCCAAAACACTTAATGCATTTGGAGCAGACAGACACTGCAAGATAAAGTACTGTAATACTTAGGAAAAAATTTCATAAAAAAGGTTATAAAATTATTTAAATAATTCTTAATACTTTCAGAGTTTAATTGTTCTTATTTACATTTTTTAAATGATATATTTTAAAGCTCACACTCATTTAAAATATTTTTGTGGCGAAGGAAGAAGTCTTTTAATGAGAAAGAAATAATATATAATACAAAATAATAATTTATCATAATTAACCAATCCTAATTCTTTTAAAACTCCGTTTTCCCCTTAATTTTAAATACAATTTTCCCCAGTGTTTGGACCCACCCCAGCTCCGGTTCCAGTTAGCCCGTAAATGGAGCTCCAAGTCTAAGATTGGTAGCCTGGGTGCGTCTTCCTCATCACCGTCACCATCAGCATCAGCGTCATCATCGCCACAGCGGCCGTCGTCATCTTGAGCGTGTGTGTTGAGCTTGTTAGCAAAAACAAAAAAATAAATAAATAAATAAAATAAGAAAAGGAGGGAATGGGGGGGAATAAAGGAAAACGGTTGCCGCTGGGTGTTGGCCAATCTTTAAAGATCAAACAATAAACTTAAAGATCTGCCGGGCACCCCTTTGGCCGCCCTTTCGCGCCTTCGACATGCAAATTGTGCAGCCGAAGAAGTGTCAAACAATGTCAGTGGGAGAATGTGTCTCGCAATTGAAATTTATTTGCACTACAATTCACCGCTGACAATGCGAGGAGGTACTACCTTACTTTTGCACCAGCTCACCTCCAGCTCAGCCCCCCTTTTCACAGTCTGCAGTTGGTTCCTCCCCCCCGAAAAACCCTCTGCCCAAAAGTCACAGTCGGAGCTAGCGATCTCTAACCCGTCAACTCGTCAAGCTGTGAGCGTCAATCCACAATCCACAACAAAGTCAACGACGAAGACGATGGCCAAGCCTGCCTTGAGGATTACACTGAGAGAAAGTTTATATTTATTAACTAATTTAAGTAGAAGAAATGAGACTGGAATATTATGGCAACCATCGAGGTGCAGGAAGGTCGATGTTGAGTGTCCTTTCTTAGTCTGTCTTAGGTAATGTCTCTCCTGAGTCATTCTATGATTTTTAAGCAACTTTTAATAAGCTTCTAAATGTTAATTTGAAATTTAGATAATATTATTAAAGACTTTAATACATTTTTAAAATTAAATAGTTTAATTTTGTATTAACTTTAAACTAAGTTTCTTTGAATTCTCACTGCAAGTTCTACCATTTCATAAATTTCATTGAAATATATTTATTTTACTGCTTTCTCCTTACCTCTTTTAGAGTCTCTGATTTTTCTCTGAGTGATTGATTGAAGCGCAGCCTCATTCAAGAGCCGAGGGCTTAGCTCACAGCTCACAGCTTCTGTGCTGAGCCGGGGCTGGCTGTGATTTCGCCAATTGGCAATTGCCTCCTCCGGTGCCGTGAGCATTTGCAAAATGTCAATCTGGTGCTGTGCATCAATTCAAGTGTGAAATAAATAGAAACGAATTCAGGTCCCAAAGTCTAGCATTTTGCTATAATTTTCGCGCCATTTGCCGTCGCCTAGGCCCGTCTGCCCGTCTGCCCCTCGATCCGACTGTCTGTCGTCTTTCTGTCATTCGGTCCGACTGAAGCGAAGCTATGCTGAAAGTATTTACAATTACGCAAAGATTGATTGAAATAGATTTCGGATTGATTGGCTGCTGGTATGCACATCGGTTTGCAGTTGTGGAGTTCCTGGGAATCGGGCGAGCAGGTTGGGGTTAAGGAGGTTAAGAGCTCCACCGGCTGGGATAATTTCTAATTAAGCTGCCACGCGGAGAGAAAGATTTTATGCGACACATTTATACCGTCAAAGCGGTGCCTTCTTCTATTTTTATTTTATTTTATTGATTGCCATCGCCGCAGGAGTCTGAGAAACCCGCTTTCTCCGGCGGACGATCTCGTAGATCTTGTGGGATCCCAGCCAAGCCCAATCAATAAAAGAAACTCCAGTTCATCTAAATATTTATTTGTATATTTATTTGTGGTGATAGCAATAATAATTTTCTTGATTTGCATACCAAATCATCACACGGAATGGGAAAATACTTAAGCAACATTAATATTAATAATTTATGCTATTTGCTATACAACATTGTGCGCCTTTCTTTACATAATCGCATCTACAAACTATATATATTATATATTATTATTTATATATTTTCGTACATTCAAAGAATTTGCTAATTGTGACTAATAACTCGAGCGAACTAATCCTCAAAACGAGTAAGATTACACACAAAAAATTTGTCTACCGGCGAGCAATATCTATATAGAACGATTGATTGGGCTTTAAACTAACAAATACTCTTGGGGGAACCGTCTAAGTAGGCTATATAAAACTATATCGTTTAGTATTATACTGTATATATGGTTCATAGCTTAGAAGAAAACGAAACTTATGGACTATACAAATTCCACTACGATATTATGCACGAGATTAGCTGCCCTTTTTGCATATTTTGCTACAGTTTCTTTTATCTTTTATCATTTGTTTAGCTTTTCTTTCCATATTTCTGTCGAATTTGTATTCTTGCCGACCGAAAAATTTGTTTATAATTCACTGAATAAAATTATAGATATTGGACAGCATTTGTGTTATACTTTTCGGTCTGTCGGTCGATCGGTCCCCATATGCAAATTTCTATCTCTTTTCGGGGGCCGCTCGACTTTAGCATATTTTGGCAATTTGGTTAGTTGTTTTAAACGATGTGATAACATCTCGAACCCAAACGGCACGAACTCGTATTTAGCGCTTGTTAATCGGAGCCCGACTCCTCCGAGTCCGTTTCATGTTTCGCATTATTTATATAACTCACATGCGTTTATTGTCTCGTGTGTATATTATTATTACTTGTTTTGTTTATCTTTTTGGTGGTGGCTTAGCGGGGGGCTAATTTTCTATTGCCTCGATCGATCTTCAGTGCCTGATAACTGTCATTCGGAAAGTGTTGTTTAGACTTTAGTGGTCAGATCCAAGGCATTGGAGGTGGCCACCTTGACGGTGGTGGCTGGAGATTCTAGTCGCAGACGCTTCCCATTTTCACTGGAGGCCTCGATGAGTTCGTCCAGTTTCCTTTTGATGGTTTCACTGGCCTCGCTATCGCTCAGGATGCTGTTGTTATTGTTGTTATTACTGATACTGTTGTTATTGTTGAGGAGAGGCGCCTGCTTCACTGTCTTTTCAGAATCCTCCTGCTCCTGCTCCTCCTCTGGCTCCTTTTCGTGCTCCTCTGGCTGATCCTCCTCAGTTGTGATCTTCAGATCCTCCTCTTCCTCATCTTCCTCCTTATCATTCTCCTCATACGCCTCATCTTCCGCTTCGATCTTCTCACCTTCACTGAAGTTCTCTGGCTCTGGATCCATGTCAGGGCTACTGCTTTTGCTGCTCAGCGAGCTGCCCGTGGTTTTCATGCTCAGATCGATGGGATCATCTTGGCCTGGACTGGGGTGTATGCCCACTTGAGCGGGTGTTTCCGGCTCCTGATGGTGTGCTGGTGAGTGTGGCGGCGTCATGGAGACCACTAGATCTTCCTCCTCTTCGTCCTCTTCAGCACCGTCTCTGATTTGCTCCGTACGCACTTCGTCGTCCTCCTCGTCCTCGTCGTTCTGGCCATTGCTCTGCCGGCTCTTGACCCGCTCGCGGCCACTCTCCGAGTTGGGTGTGACCAGGGCAGAGATGGAGTAATCCTGCTTTGAGTGTGGCGGTAGTTTTGTGGTCGCCGGCGGACTGTGCCGCTGGGACTTGAGCACTGCGTCCAGATAGAAGCGCTTGGTCAGCTCATCGGCTGCCCCGCCATTGGTCAGCAGGTGGTTGTTGTTCGCATGGCCACTGGGACTCCTCGTCGGTGCCGGCTGCTCCTCCTCCTTAAGGTGCTGCTGCGGCGGTGGCTGATGCTGCTGGTGGTTGCCAAAGGGTGAAGTTCCCGGCGCAAAGCGCTGACCCGCACCGCTGGAGTTGAAGAGATGCTGCACCGCCGCCGCTGCCACGGCCGCCTGCTGCTGCTCCGGCGTGGGCTTGAGCAGACCCTGGTGATGCGAGTACAGGGCGGGATGGTAGCCGGGAAAGAGCAGGTGAGAGGGCGGCAGAAAGGCGGGTGGCGGCATCACCGGCATGGAGCCGAGTCCCGGAAAGGGCAGGGGCAGGAACGGCGACAGGTCCTTGCGCAATTGTGGCGGCCTTCCTGGCACTGCTCCTCCTCCGCTTGCCTGACTTCCATCGCCTCCACCGCCACCAGCTCCGCCGGCCGAGGACTTGCCGCCCAAGTGGAGCAGCGGATTGCCCCGCACTGCACTCACCTCCACGGAGCTGTCCGAGTTGTGGGAGTCGGGGGAACTCACTGAGGGCGACGCCACCACCGGATGCTTAAGGGCGCCGTAATCTCCCGCACTCTCCAGACCCAGCATCATGAGTTCCTCCTTGCTCCGTACTCCTCCCCCGCCGGCGGTGGCTGCGGCATATAGACCCGGATAGCCACCGGGATGACCCAGCATGCCAAGTGCAGCTGCCGCTGCCGCCGGTGGTGGGACACCCGACATGGCCTTCACCCCGTTGGGCATGCCGCCGGCTCCACCCGAGCCACCGGGTGCTCCTCCACCGCCAGCCTGCTGGCTGTTGTGGTGCGCCGCCATGGCGGCCACCGCCTGCTGCTGCTGTTCCTGGAGCAGACAGTGGATCTTGAACCAGTTGGAGCGACGGCCGTAGCGGGAGCCGCTCTTGGACATGCCCACCATGAGGCACTTCTTCAGGCGACAGGCCTTGCAGGCGGTGCGGTTCTTCTTGTTGATGATGCACTCGCCGTTGTTCTTGCAGTCCGAGATCGACGAGAGGTTGTTGTACGACCGACCGAAGAAGGACTGCAATGGGAGGGAAAATTTGGGTTATTATTTAATAATATTTTAAATAAATTATATAAATTATAGAAGAAGAAATTAATCTAGATAGCCTCTGAAGACCCCCAAGACTCCACCCTTATCCAGCTTCTCTGACTTCTTCAGCCCATGATGTCATTCCATAAAACGTTTTCAATGCTCCGACAATAATATCTCATTAAATTTTGTGATGATTCATCCGCCGCTGAGACCGAGACCTCTTTAAACGCTTTTTGAGCGCCGAAATACAAACAAAAAAAAAGAAGCTGGGGCGAAATAAAGCAAATCGACATGCACAAGCGACGGCCAGGCTGCCACCTACACCTTCGGCATTAACCGTTGGCTGGGGCACCACAATCAATTGCAACAAAGCAAACAAACAATTTAATTCAATGCGGAGGAGCCATGAAAAGCTGAGAGCCAGAAAGCTGAGAAAGAAACAAAAAGCCAAGCGACAGACAGCAACATGTTGCTGCTGCTTCCACTGCTGCTTCCACTGCTGCATGTTGCAAAGGTTATGGCTGTGCAACACTTATGCCAAGTTGCAATGTTGGCAGTAAATCACCAACGCTTCACGGCCTGCCCGGCTTTGCAATCAACCAAAAGGGACAGACTGCCTAAATGACTGACTGAATGGTGGCACTGGGAGAAAAAGGTAAAATGTTAATTTTTAAAAAAATCAGAACAAATTCTAAATTTAAATCCAAGAAACTATATTTCAGCATATTTCATATTTAAAAAGATAGCGTCTTAAAATTCGATGATCATTGCAAAATATTTATGGATCTTTATTAACTATAAATTACTCACTAGTTTGTTAAAAATAAAATTTTAAGACAAGCTAAAAGCAATATTCTGAAATAATACTTAAGAAACTACAATCATATTTAATGAAATTTCCTATTAATCATTTTAAATGTAGGAATGAGTGCAGCTAAAATTCCCAAGTTCGAATTTGGTGATACGCCTGATTATCAGACAAATAGTTTTGGTCTTTAAAAACCTTTTTCTAATTTTTAAAAATATTAAATAAACGATTACTTAGATTTAAAGCAATGGGAAATCTTTTCCTAAAGAAAGATCCTACATTTTTAAGGTTTACAATAATTTTCTCCAAGTGTAACTGACAGTCTCTGTGTCAGTATTCAACTTTTGGTTGCCGTCGTTTTCTGATCGTGGGTGGAGCTTTTGAATGGAAGAAATACCGAAACACTGAAACACCGGTGCTGATGCTGACGACGAAGCGCAAAATTGAACCGAAACAGAAACAGAAACAACAAAAAAAAAATATCCAAAGAGAAGCAGAAACAATGCGAAAATCCACTTTTAAGGTTAATTGGGCATCAAGATTACTGGGTCGGAAATGGAAATGGAAACGGACGAGGTGGAGGTGGAGGAGGATCTGGGCCCGTTCTGGCGTTTCTTCGTTTTCAGTTTCGTTTCAAGAAGTCAAGAAGCAGCCCAGACGGACAGACGACTATTTACAAGCAATTTTGTGCATCAAGGCAGATTCACTTTTGTTTGTTTTGTTTGTTATTTTTTTTTTACTCTTTGGGCCCATTTACTGTATTTTTTTCCTGCTTTTTTTTATTTGTCTTCTTGTGGGCGTTAAATTAGCCAAGCGAGGCCCACGCCATTGCGAACGAGGCCCAAGCACAAATCAAATAACGCTGACCCACAAATTGTACGTTAGTTGACCTTTTCTCCTTGGCGTGGGCAAAAAAAAAATAAATAAATACGACGACAAGAAAAAGCTAAAAAAAAAAAATATAAACAAATAAATAACAAAATCAAATCCCGCGAATTTGAACTCGAATCGAGTTGGAGAGCGAACAAAAAAATGATCATCCCACCATTAAAGGAGTATTCGTATTTAAATCAATTATTTGTGGGGCGCTTTGTTTAACTTTGACCTTAGCCTGGGGCATCCCATCCATTTGTGTTGCCGTGGCTACTCCTCCTCATCCTCCTCCCCCTCCGTCCCACCCATTGATGAACTCAACATTCCGGCTGTAGCTCCGAGCTGGGGTCTCGCAGAGAATGGCCTCATAACTTTTTCTGCTTAGCGTTTTTGCATCACGAAGACGGCGAATTCGATTTATTGAAATCGATTGAATCGATTGATATGAACAACTTTGGGCCACAGCGGAATGCCCGATTGTGTTTGAAAGTGTTTGAAATTGCGGCCAAAATGCGAGAAGGGTTGGCCATTTGGAGCGGATTGTTAGCGGTATTTAAAATGGCCCGTGGGATGCGCTTTAATTGAGGTATTTTGCTAAATACTTTGAACTGAGGCCTTAAAATTGGGGTTCAAGGGAGTATTTTAACTCGAAATATAATTTAATTTGAAATTCAAATAATTAAAGGATAACTTATGGGGAATTCGGAACCTTAAACAAGCTAACATAGGAATCAATCTCTTCTTAAAACGCTAAAAGTTTAAATAAATAATTTTAAAAAATATTAAATATTATCTCTACGATATCTACAATCTTAAAACACCTTAAAACAAACATAAAAATAATTAATTTCACTATCAAACTCACCTTACAGCCCTCGCATGTGAAGGCTCCAAAGTGGAATCCAGCCGCCGGCTCTCCACACACCTTGCACGTCTGATTCATCTGCAATGGGAACGAACAGAACACAGGACATGAGAATTGGGATTGCATATAATTTGGGGAGGGGGTTAAGGTGGGGGATCTCTAACCTCCCAGCCTCAACACCCACCCACCCCGCTTCAAAACTGAGGCAATAAATTCATAAAATTTCAATTAAAAGCAACAGCAAATCATGACACGCGCATCTGGAGCTCTCCATTCTCCCCCCCAAAAAAGAGAATTGGAAATCCAGCCGCCAGCAAAATTCACACGCATTAAAAATTAAAATGCAAACATAGTTTGTCATATCGCGGAATTGGTATCAACAAAAAAAAAAAAAAAAAAAAAGATCACGGCGAAAAACGAAAGGCAAAAAACGAACGACGACAAATGGAAATGGGAAACAGGCCCAAAGGAGCAGCCAACCCACCAAACCCGACCATGAACTCCTTGCACTGTGATAAATGGGGGAAAAATTAAAACAAGGAAAATTTTTATAACTAAACTAGTTTAATCTAATTTAATTTTAAAATTAATTCTAGTAAAAGATATTCTCTTGACTGCTTAACTCTTTTCTTTTATTTTGGGAAATTATATTAGTACCTCCCCCCATTTCTCTCTGTGCGCCTGCCCAAGAGTCTCTCCTGGTGCCCATAATAAAATATGAAGATGGAATCAAATGAAAAATTGCCCCAGAGCACACACACACACACACTCTGAGCAAACAAGCAACATTTGCATTTATATGGCAAACCCAGTGCCTGGCTGGCTTCCCCCCTCGAATAGGCGCAACTTGTGGCTGAGCAGGAATATTTGTTTATTTATTGCGAGCGAAATGTTTATCAACAAATTGCCATCAATTGTTGTTTGGCCAGGAGTTGCTCTTGGTCCCTGTCCTCCTGAGTTTTTCATGGTCAGGTTGGTTATGGAGGGAAATTGCGTTTTCTTTATTGCCACTTGTAGTTGGAAATTGGAGCAGAAACTTTGATGATGATGACATATGAACATGCAAAGGTAGAAATAGATCGTGGGAGACATTTTTATAGGTTTTTATAACTAAATTTGTTACTAAATCTTTAAAAATTCATTGAAATTAATGCTCTTAGCAATTGAAATGCTTTCAAATATATCAAAAACGAAAATTGGCTACCCAAACTGGTAGCCCGAGTGCAGATGCTCCTCAGCCTCATCCTCAGCTGCAAGCTGAACGCTTTTGTTATGTTTTATAGCACCAATTGGCCCGCGGGCGATTCTTGGCCATAATTCTTGTGGGCAACAAACAATTTGGCACATTACAAAGTAGGAGAAAGCACTCAACACATTCACTTTTTTACCCATCGCGGGGCCAGGGGGTCTTATAAGAATGTCTTGGCAATTGGCTCAGTTCGTTCAGGTCCCGGGGTTCCTTATTTTCCTCTGGCTGCCTTGTTTGACTGTAAAACATGCTAATCTGATTTCGTGTTATGTGTTGAGTTGGAGGCCCGAGTTGAGGTCTTTGGGCCCCGCGAGTTGGTAGGAAATAAATTTCCTACGTTTAGGTTTCATAAAGCGTCGTCGGGTCTGGTCGCAGTGCCAGCCTGCCTGCCTTCCCGCCTGCCTGGGATTAATCGACAAATAAAAATCACATAAAATAAATTAAAAATTATGAGTTTCAAGTTTCAACAACCTGTGGATTGGCAGCAGATTTAGTTTGATTTTAAATCACTGTCAGAGAGAGAGAGAGAGGGCCAAAACACGTTGCAGATGAGCCTCGCCGTGAAATTTATGCAGACAATGTGCAATATTAAAAAGCCATAAACATTTATTTTACAACAGACAAGCGACATATTCTTAGCCCTGGCACTGGGATGACTCTTTGGCGGGGAAAATGGAATGATGACAGGCTTTCTGAGATATGCAGTTAAGTGGCCAAGAACTGATGTAATTTTCTATATTTTTTATCAATTTTGAATAAAGTATTTAGCTTTCTTCATGTTTATTAAATTATAACAAGAAAGAATGCTAACTTCGGAAAGCCTTACGATATTAATCACTCCATTTAATAGTCCTTAAATAAGTTCTAATGATAATATCTAAAATCACTTACTTGGTAAGTGGTACTATTCAGTTTTATCTTTATCATCAACCCTCTAAACTCAGACCTGTTTAAATCTCTTTACCCCCAACAAAGACATCACTTTTATTTGTGTATTTTGCATAATTTAGGTAAAGCAGCTCTGGCCGAAAGCATTTAAAGTCACAATTAGCCAGGCCATTAAGTGAAAGTGTTATAAATGAAATGCGAGAGCAGCAACAAGGCAACAACACCGTCTGCACAATTCAAATTAAATATATTATATTCACAATATAAATAATCTTTTTCCTTGTCCCAGCAATTTGTTATTTTTTGCGACTAACAAAACATTTGACAGTGCGCAAGTTATTGATGGCATGCGAATATTGATGAGTTTTTTCGACTGCACAATGCCAATTTATTTTAATTAGTTGGTATATTTTCCAAAAATAAAAGTTCCCCCAGTTCGCCAGAAGTGCAGCACAGTTGATCCAAGACAAACAGACGCCAGCAAGAATAACAATAACAAAAACGAGTAAAAAGTATGGCAAAAAAAAGCATAAATATCAGCAAAAAACTTCACCAGTCATCCATCCACAATAGTGGATGCTGTTGATTTTGTGTGTGATTAATTATGGCGATTGCTGTTCTGTTTGTTGTTAGATGTTGTTTGGTTGTTAACCTTAACGCGCAGCAAAAATAGCAAGTAGAATTTATAATTTTTCATGCCCCGATGATGCAATGATAAAATATTATATACATACGTACACACACGATAATAAGATGCTTTGTTATATGGCTTATTAAGCTTGGCAAATAAAAGATGCGGTCGCAAAAATAATAAAGAAAAATATACGAAAAAAAATTAAATAAAATTATTAAGATTCATTTAAGGCACGTTTACTCCAGTTTCGAGCTCGGCTTGCCTCGCCTGGAGCTGTTAAGAGCTAAGTGCCATTAAGACCAAGTCCAAGCGCGGTTTTAGTTTCTGTTTATTTTCATTTTTTCGCTTCCCTCGCTTCTTTTTTGCTGGCAAAAAAATTATGATAATTGCCTGACCTTGGCTGGGTTGTACTAATACTAATCTAAATTTGCACATCCACCGAGCAGATCCCCGGAGCCCCCGCCTGGAGCATGCCCCCTGAGCATGCAATTATAAAAAAGCGCAGGCTAGAGGCAAAAACATAATTTAATTAAAATGAAATCATGTACAGAGCAATTGCCTCGCTTTGTTCATTGTGCTCAACGGCAAATTGTTCTAGTTTTTAAGTTTTATTTTTCGCCTTTTTCGTTTGCAGTTTTTTTATACAATTTTTTTTTTTTTAGTTTTTGTTATAAACATTCATGACCAGTCGACACTGAAGACGGTCGTTTGTGGCTCGGTGTGTTGGTGTGGCTTATTGCCATTGTTGTTACTATGATGAGCAGATAAAAAAGTATAAACAAATGCTGTCTGCTTCTTAACTGCACCCCTAGACGGTAGTATCGTGCAAGTGCAGCTGGCATTCTTATTTAAATTTGTATTTCTAAATTATCAGAATAAAATTTAATGGGCTAGAGGGCTACTGGTTGTTAGGAGACATCAACAAAGCCACTTAGCATTTGCTTTTAGATGGTTTAACTTATTTTCAACAGGTGTTGTGAAGATACAAGAGATCTATAAGTATCTTTTCAAACTTTAAACTATTTATGGTAATGTTTAAATTATATAAAAAACCTCCAAGTCTAGAAGAAAGAGTATCTCTCATTCGGAATTCTCTCAACCATCTTCCAAAGCCAGCTGCAATGTAAAACCAAAAAGATTGCTCTAGTCGCAGAATCTATTCCTAGCCATCCAGCCAATCAGATGAGTCATGTTGGCAATGCAAACTCGTTTATTCCCCACTCGATCTGCCGAAGAGCAGCGAAATTTGTCAAAATGGTTATATCGCATGTTTGATATGTTTCTTTTTTTTTTTTGTTACTGGCTTTCATCTCTTTCTTGTCTCCGCATTACAGAAATACTTGAGGCATCCCAGAGTCAGCTGCACACACGCATTTCTCTCGCTTTTCCTGCCCCAGCAGCACTCCTCTTTGCTTAGTCACGCGGCCTTTATGCTTAGGCAATTTGTCAAAAAAAAAGAAATAACACACAACAAATTTTACACACACATTTTCAGGGGGGGCCCTGCCCTTAGAGACCCCTCAGGGGAGTGATCAATCACAGGAAATCTTTCAGTTTGCGTGAGGAAATTATTCGCAGTTGTTATAGTTTGTTCAGTGAGAATATTTTTAGATGGTTTCGAATTTTTCGCAGATTACCAGCATTTTTGTGAACCTACAAATATTTCATAATTTCAAATATGATTTGATGAATGACTTTTCGTTTATTTGACAATTATTAAATGGTCAAGGGGAACGCCCTTTTATAAGTATTTTGTTCGGCAAAAAGGATGATTTAGATGCCCTAAGTAATTTAGTTTTCTTCACGGATGTTTTTAATTTATACTCTTTTTTTATAATTCCTTCTCATTGTTTCTTTTATTTGTTTTTAAAAGTACTTTTCCCTATCAAGTCTTCGATTTAATGATTGATTTGTCCTTTTGTTTGACAATTACTAAATGGTCAATGAAAACGCCCTTATTTCGTTTCACTATTTTCTCCCTTTGCCTTTCTATGTCTTTAACTTCCACGGGGAGTTTTTATCTTTGTTGTTTTGGACATCAACGCCCCTTGAAAGTCAATCCATCATCGTTTATCGTTCGCTTCGCTGGGCGAGTTTGTTGCCTAAGTCTTTCGTTTTGATTTTCGTACTTAGCTAATTGTTGTCGTTGTCCCTGTCGCTGTCGCTGTCATTGCTGTTCGCCCTCTTAAGCTACATAAAACCCAAAGCCAAACACTGTAATTATGAGCCACGATGATCATGCTGCCCGCCGCTGATGATGATTATCGCGATGATGAAAAGTGCTCAGCAGAGTTTGCAACTTGAAGC